GCGGTGTCGCCCTCCTGTATCCTGTAGCCTTCGTGGTGGCGCTCTCCTGCGGGATCTGCGCGGTGAATAGCCTGAAGGAGGACGAAGGGGGAGAGAAGGTTGGCCTCCTGCAGGATGTGTGAGGGAGAAGGGTAGTATGTAGGGTGTTTGTGTAGTGTGTGTGTGTGTGTGTGTGTGTGTGTGGTGTGTGTGTTGTGTGTAGTGTGTGTGTGTGTGTGTGTGTGTTGTGTGTGTGTGTGTGTGTGTGTGTGTGTGTGTGTGTGTGTGTGTGTGTGTGTGTGTGTGTGTGTGTGTGTGTGTGTGTGTGTGTGTGTGTGTGTGTGTGTGTGTGTGTGTATGTATGTGTGTGTGTATTGTGTGTGTGTATGTGTGTGCTGAATGTGTGTGTGGCGTGTGTGTGTGCGTGTGTGTGTGTGTATCTTGGGAGGGATGTAAATGTTATATTAATCCATTAAAATGAAGGACTTGGCTGTATCCTCGTATCTTGATGCTGGTGTTATGAATTCAAGTCGGTGCATTTATCTTGACTTTACTGGAATCGTTCATGTTGAATCGGCAAGTAAATGTGTTTATATCTTCAGACTGGTAATGATTTACTGCTTCGATTTTCGTTAAAAAAATTATATTACATGTATTTTTGTGATAAAAGAGTTCAATTGTATATTTAAACTAATGTATAAAACACTGGATGTGTATTTCATAGACTATTAAAGTCTGAGACATCAATACCAATGTACTTTGATTCCACTGATTTGATCAATGATTCCTAAAACTGCATGGAAGAAAATTTAGTGAGTTTTAGGTGTGGTACCTTGAAGGTATGCGCGTCTCATACCAATTGTCCGAAATTAGTCTAATAAATGTTTTGTCAACATATCCTTAGAATCACATCAATGCATTTAATTGCGTGGGTGTAGTGCAACGTCGTATAAGTACCAATACTTATACTGAAGGTAATAATCGTTTATAATGAAAATGTGTAATAAACGGTATTGGACTGAGGACACCATTGAACGCGCATTTGGGTATATATCCTTCAGTATGTTTATTTTCTTTCGAACAACCATATTTCGCGAATAATTGAAAGATAAATTAGATTTAGATTAATCTGAATGAGGGAGACGGGAGGACTAGGTGAATTTAGGGGACTTTAACCGGAAATGGTTCGGGATCACTTGGATGGACAAATATCTACTTTAAAGGAATATCTGTTTTGTCTGTGTATATTTCACATTCACATGCTCGTGTCATTGTCAGTGAATGGCCCCTAAACCCCCCATGAGTACCATAGACAACAGCCATCCACATATTTTCATAAGAGTTATTTTAAGGTCTTCTCAGAGGATTTATTAGAGGTATCCTTTGTGTTTACCCCATGAGAACTTTTCAGACTTGTTCCCCATAAATCGATCATGATTTTTTACGAGTGTGACCTTTCATGAGTCTTTTGGGACCTTTTCGACCTATTGTTTGGGTACCTTCTTGGGCACTTTTGATTATTTTACCTTTAAAGAAAGAAAGAGAGAAAAAAATCACACACGCACACCTATACACACATATATACATTGGCTCTCTATCAGTTTTCTATGATTTTTAATTTTTTTTTACTTCTTTCCCTCTGCTTTTCAATACTTTTCTTTTACTTATATTTTTGCTCTAGGGTTTCTTCCTTAACATACTGCTGTCCTTTTATTTCTAGTTTTTATTAGTTAATACATTCTTTGCGTTTGTTGATTTAATTTACTTCATTTGGGTCCCTTATTTAACCCTTTCCTCGAAATCTCACAAGGGTCTCCTGGGCGATTCACAGGGACTGGGACCCTTGCACCTCGCCTGGGATTCCTCTGGATTTTCAGAAAAGCTTCCTTAAATGCCTCTGTGACTCCGGTTGGTATCTTTGAGGGCTTTTGAGTGTGTGTTGATATGTATGTATATATCTCTCTGTTTATGT